AAGAAGCATGTGCAGTAAGAACACCAAAATACTCTGCTTTCCGAAGGATACGGTGTCTGACTTGGCAGAAAGAATCCTGCATATCGTGGCTGAACATCCTACTGTGAAAAACATACTGCACATCGGGACCAATGATGTTGTGAAGCAACAGTCTGAAGTGTTGAAATAGGACTTTAATAATCTGTTGAACACAGTCAGCTATTTGAATGCTGAGGTGTTTATCAGTGGCCCTATACTGCCAATCCGAAGAGGAGCTGAGAGATTCAGCAGATTGATGGCATTGAACACGTGGCTCTCAAATGCACTGAATGGACATGTACTGTCCATTCAGTGCATTTCATCGAAAACTTCTTTTTAAGGTAGATGGACTTCGCCTTAAAATTGTTCAGCTCCAACCTATTTTACTTTCTGCACCACTCATCTGTTCCCTCTGCCAAGGACAAGAGGAATCTAAACAAGAAGAAGACATAACACAACACGCCAGAAACCTTAAAGGAGAGCCACCTCACCCCCACTGGAAGAGAGCTCTGATCATGGGAGACATCTGAGCCAAGAGGAAGAGCCTCCACCTCCCTCACTGAAAACCAACAGTGAGGATTCACCATCTCTACCCCCCCCCCCCGTGTCACAAATACAGCGCCCAACCCGCCCTCCCGCTCCGCAATGGCGAGAAAGCCCAGTAAGCTCTGTCTGATATGTGCTGGGTCCAGGCTACAAGGAAAATAGCACTCATGACTCTTCCCAGGACTAGCCGGGGGCCCAATGTGCTGGTAGTCTTCTCCATCCCTGTCTTGATAGGTAACAGAAAAAGCATGGTGAATGTGTTGAAAAACAGGAAGCACTCAACATATCCTGCAAATTTAGTATTAATTCCTCGTCAGCCGCAGCCGGTCGAAAAAAAGTGGGCCAGATAATGTTTTTAACACACTAAAATTAGCTTTGTTAAACATTAGGTCTTTGGCAGGAAAAACATTTTTAATCAATGATTTTATAATCATTCACAATCTTAATTTCATGTTTTTAACTGAAACTTGGTTGGACCATGATAACAGTGCAGCTGTCCTTATCGAGTCTAACCCTCCCAACTTCAGTTTTATAAGTGAAGCTAGAGTGCATTAGAGGAGGTGGAGTTGCCATTTTGTTTAATGACTCCCTCTAATGCAAAAAGATGTCTTATGGGAATTTTGCTTCTTTTGAATATGTGGCTCTTCAGCTGAATTCCTCTTCTCGAGCTATTTTTCTAAATATGTACAGGCCCCCTAAATACTGTGCAAACCTTTTTGATGACTTTGGTGAACTGCTGTCTATAATCTGTATTGACTTTGACTGTGTGGTTATTGCTGGTGATTTTAACATCCATGTTGACAACCCCCAGGACAGAGGGACTAAAGAACTGTTTTGTGTTCTTGATAATTATGGACTGACCCAACATGTGACGGAGCCCACACACAATAAGGGGCACACTTTGGACTTGCTCATCTCCAAGGGTCTGGACATTTCCAAGGTTGTGGTGACTGATGCTGCTCTCTCTGATCATTCCTGTGTTTTCTTTGAGAGCGCTATCTGCGTGCACACAAATGTTAAAATAGAGGTAATCACAAAACGGCATATCACTGAAAACACTAGTGAAAAATTTATTGAGGCTTTCTCCTCGACACTCGCCCTCTCACGGGTCTCAGTCAATGAGCTTGTAGATAATTTCAGTTCTAAAATTACAAATGTTATTGATGCCATTGCACCAGCCAAGGTGAAAGTGGTTACTGGTAAGAGAAGATCTCCATGGAGAATGGAGAAATGCCACGCTGGTTAGAACTAAAAAAATAAAAGAGTGTGTTGAAACGCAGGTGGCGGAAAACAAATCTCCAGGTTCATTATGACATCTACAAAGCGAGACTTCGCATTTATAATTTAGAGCTGAAAAATGCAAGGCGGTCCTTCTTCTCTGATGTCATCACCAAAAACACTAATAATGCACGTGCCCTGTTTGCTACTGTCGACAGGCTAACCAACCCTCCTGTGTCTGTAGCCTCTGAACTTCTATCCACCTTTACTGGGTGGTTCAAATTCTGCAATGAATTTGCGTCCTTCTTCACAGACAAAATTCAAACAATTAGACAAGCAATCAGTGCCTCCATGTCAGTAACAGGATATGTCTTGTCCCTGTGTCCACTTAAAAACAATTCATATAGCATGAGACAATTTGATTCTATTAACCATAAAAACCTTGAGGACATAATACAACATCTGAAATCCTCATGCTGCCTTGATATTCTGCCAACAGGTTTTTTCAAAAATGTGTCTAAATGCATGGCCTCAGATCTACTACAAATTGTCAACATGTCTCTCCTCTCAGGTTTTTTCCCCCCCACAGGCCCTGAAAACTGCAGTCATTAAGCCACTTAAAAAAAGAGCAATCTGGACAGTTCACTAATAAGCAATTATAGGCCCATATCAAATCTCCCATTTTTAAGTAAAATCATTGAAAAAGCTGTTTTTCAACAGCTTAGTGCTTTCTTGGCACTAAATAACTGTTTTGATGTCTTCCAGTCAGGTTTTCGACCATACTACAGAACTGAGACGGCTCTTGTTAAGGTCTTCAATGACATCCATTAAAGACAGTGGCAGAATTTCAGTCTTAGTATTATTGGATCTCAGTGCTGCATTCGACACAGTCGACCACAACATATTACTAGACAGACTTGAAAACTGGGTTGGACTTTCTGGCACAGTACTAAAATGATTTGAATCCTACTTAAAGGACAGGGACTACTTTGTGTCTATAAGGTAATTACACATCTGAGCTGACAAAAATGACATGTGAAGTTCCCCAAGGCTCCATTCTGGGGCCTCTTTTGTTTAACATTTACATGCTTCCACTGGCTCAGATTATGAAAAACAACAAAATGTTACCATAATTATGCAGATGACACACAGATTTACATAACCATTTCACCAGGGGACTATGATCCCATACGGATGCTGAGTAATTGTATTCAGCAGGTCAACGATTGGATGTGCCAGAATTTTCTCCAATTAAACAAAGACAAAACTGAAGTTATTGTTTTTGGAGCCAGGGAGGAATGATTGAAAGTCACAGCTCAACTTCAATCTGTTATGTTAAGAACCACAAATCAGAAATCTTGGTGTAGTCATGGACTCAGACCTGAATTTGAGGAGCCACATTAAGACAATTACAAAGTCAGCCTACTATCACCTGAAGAATATATCACGGATTAAAGGACTTATGTCTCAGCAGGACCTGGAAAAACTTATCCATGCATTTATCTTCAGTCGACTCGACTACTGTAACAGTGTCCTTACAGGGCTCCCTAAGAAATCCATCAGACAGCTGCAGCTGCTCGAGTCCTCACTAAGGCCAAAATGGTGAATCACATCACTCCAGTTCTGAGGTCTATACATCGGCTTCCTGTATGTCAAAGAATTGATTTCAAAATCCTGGTGTTAGTTTATAAAGCACTAAATGGTTTAGGGCCAAAATACATTTCTGATCTTCTGCTTCATTATGAACCATCCAGACCTCTCAGGTCGTCTGGGGCAGGTTTGCTTTCTGTCCCAAGAGTCAAAACTAAACAAGGAGAAGCAGCGTTCAGTTATTATGCTCCGTATATCTGGAACAAACTCCCAGATAACTGTGAAAAGATAATGACAGTGAGATTGAACAGAGTGAAGGAAGTGGTCTTAAATCTCGCGCCTGAGTGATTTGCAGGAAACTCTGTCCACCTGTAAACGCGCAGGTGGGTCCAGAGTATAAATGGATCAAAGTGGCCTGTGGACAGACATGTCCTGGTTTCTCTGTAGTGTCCAAGGGTTTTTGGAGTTTCAGTGGACCCAAAGATTGCTACGGACCCCGAGTACAGACTAGCTAGAGAGAGTAGATTAAGTGTACTTCTCTGTTTATTCTCTTTTCAAAATAATTGTAACTCAATTATTTGCTCAACCCCTCACCCCGTTTTTATTTTCCATTAAACTCTTTTAACCCGGATTGTACACTGCACTGTAACCTTTATTATATTTTAATGTGTATTTTTTCCAATTTCCCTATGTTGCTTTTAAACTTTTTTATATTTCCCTGTTGCTTTTATGTTTTATGTAAAGCACTTTGAATTACTTTGTTGTTGAAATGTGCTATACAAATAAACTTGCCTTGCCTAGATTATTTTCCAGAATCGTTCAGCCCTAATTAAAATAACAAAAGTATTTATGCCCGCCCCCAAAAGGATGCTCCATCTCAAACTCCCGGGCTGAATTTCAGTCCCAATACATCCGTGAAAGGAGACCTGCAGGCGATAAGCTGCCCTCTTCCAATTCCTCAGCACGGTAACAACTCATTTTACTGTGCCATGCTACTGTGATTAGTGTTGCTCATGGCATAAGGGGGGAAAAAAGTAAGAAACAAGGTAGCGTGTTGCCGGTGTTCTGACAATCTATGCTGCCTTGCCGAAAAATGCTACCATAGCGCAAATCGATAGACTCGACTCCACTCGGCCCTGCTCTGTTTTCCATTGCAGGTAGTACCCAGAGATAGTACCTAACTTGTCGTCATAGCGACGCCACACACACACACACACACACACACACACAAACAAACCTGATGCGACGTAATGTTCAATACAACACACACAAGCGATCCACACAGCTTTCTCTTTTTTAAGTTAAAACGTTTCAACATTCCTCAGAATGTAAAGACATAAGCGGGTATGAAAACCTTCCAGCTGTTACATGCACAAAAAAAAAAATATCTCATAGCATAATACCACCTCTTTAAGGATAAATAAAGTCCTTTATCTTAATTTATGTCAGAAAGTTAAATATTTGTCCATTGAAACTAAAGTGTTGAAATATAAAAACATTTAATAACAAAAGTTAAGAAACCCAGTCGAGCACAAAAAGGAGGAGTCGCCAACGTGTGTCCATCACCAAGTGCAACATTCATGTATGTGCTTTATTCCTGAAGACGGGGTGGCAATCGTATTTTGTACCTGCAAGCTGCATGCTGATTGGCTCATTCAGTCACGTCCTTACCGGGACATGAAGGCCTCCAGCACAGCCACGTTCTCTTTGGGGAAGTAGTCCTGTCGAACAACGTGCTCCAAGGTATGGAGGTGGCCGGGAACCACGAGCACAGGCTTCACCTTGTCTTCACTCTGAGCCGCCAGTAGCACCGGACAGAGGGACGGAGGAGAGGACAGAAAAGAGAAGAGTCTTAAAAACAACGGACAATGCAGTGAAAAGACAATAAGACATCAGAAAGTGTCAGAGAAGACAGACACATTTCTGTACTGTAGCAAACATTGTTGATTATGTTGCATACCTTGATAAGTCCAAGCAGCACTAACAAAGATGATACAAAGTTGTAGCCTTGGAAGGAAGGAGTGGCAAAAGCTTTCTTCAGAAGGGTGTCTGTAAGGGACAAAAAACCTACTTACAAACTTATATTTTCACACAGTCAATGATATATAAATGATACATAAAAAACCCACAAAATAACTACAAGACACTAAGTTAATTTGTAAGGTTTCCTCCCTCTCGGTCAGGCACTTCCGTCAGAGAGGGCAAACACTACAGCAATCAAACCAACGGATGCAGACAAAAGTTTCTCACCAATGCTGTCCAACACTGCGTTCTTTACATCATTGTTCTCCTCCTTATACACAGATGCGATCTTGAGGAACGCTTCAGCTGTTTTTGCAGCATCTGTCACATCCACCTAGACACAGAAAGAAATAAACATTTACTGATGGCCACCCTGCTTTACACACACGCCATCAAACTGATGCATCCTCTGATCGCTTTTGTGTCAAACACACACATTTTAACTTCTGAGCTGAATTTCCTTCCTTAACTACAACCCAAGACTCTTCTTTTAGCCTTTAGTACCTGTCATTAACAGATAACTGCTAATCTGTGGGTGAAAACTGCACTGCCATGCACATATTAGTGGAATCTTCCTTGTGTCTACCTGCTGCTCGATAAGCAATGCTCTTTTGGCCCCAAGTTTGAGCAGTTTGTCTGGGGACGGAAAGCTGAGGAAGGAGGAGACGTCTGGCGGACGGGGTGCTGATGCAGGGGTGGACAACTATGAGGGTAAGGGGAGAGAGGCGACAGTCAGCCAAACACACACATTCATACAGCAGCTAGTGTGGCCTTCAGATGACTTCATGTCAGCAATATTAATACAGCAACATCTGTCCTTCTAATTAGTGGGAAAGTAAAAAAAATAATACAAATACATAATGATGTTACCATTTCAAATTCATGTGTCATCGTTTCTTTTTCAGTTCAGAAGCTTCTCTAAAACTTGGAGGAAATGTTGGTGCACAGTCCTGCTAAAAGGTCCAGCATTAAAGCTCTTGTTAAGAAATCAGAAACGCAAAAATGAGAGCCTTGTCATTAATTAATTAATGACAAGGTAAGGTAACTGACATGTCAACTGTAATGAGCAGGCGCATGGAACACTGGATGCTTTCAAACAAACAATGGTTTTACTGATGACAGTGGATTTACATTTGGGGACTCACAATAGAATAGAACAATCTCCCAGTGTCAAAACATTTGGATTAGCCTGGAAAATATTTACAATTTGAAATCAATTTTATGTTGTTTAGTCTTTCTAGAAATTCAACAGTCAGCAGTCTGTTTCAGGGGGAGATTTCATCATCACCACCACACATTTTTCTGACCTTTATTCCAGTGCTTTCCTCTTCCTCCTCTTCTTCCTCTTCCTCCTCCAATTCCTCCTCATCCACTTCATCCTCCTCCTCTTCCTCATCTTCATCGTCGTCATCATCTTCTGGCTCACCCTCATCGTCACTGGGTCAAAATGAAAACACCGCTCATTAGTGAGGATTATTTTTCTGCTGTGAGGTGCATCTTTTTGAAAGATTGTGATATTTAACAAAACCACATGCTAAATCACTGAGGGGTAAAATGCTTGTGGTTTTGCAAGTGTGTTGCACTCTGCCGTGAATTCTTGGTGCTAGACAGGTTTGAAGTCGAGGGTTAGGGTTGTGTTTAGTGAACAGGTTGTCTTATAGTAAATCAGGTTGCCAGTCACTATCAAGTGTAAAGTCTAAATAATTTGGACCAACCAGATATGCTCTTGGACGTGTAATTTGTCAGATTTTATCCTCTGCCCTGGTTTTACGTTACAAGGCACAGACGAGGTACAGCAACAGTGAACACACCACCCCCGATTTCCATCGTTTCAGTAAGCTACAACTATGTCATTAACAAGCCTCCTCCACATAAGGAGAGGGTGGGAAAGAGAGACAGGAAGAGGCGGGGCAAGCCGATGTGTCTGCAGGTAGAGACGAGAGGTGTAGGTGTGTGTATGTGTGTGAGTGTGGGGAAAAGAGAACTGAAGGGAAAAGTTAGGTGAGCACATTCAAGTAGTGAGTAAACACTAAAATAAAGTGGAGAATTAAATAGAATTAAAATAGTGAAATAAGAAATAACGTACTACAAATAGACCCCACTAGCCCTCCATGACACACAACAGGATAGACAGGAACAGAGAAAGGATGGATGGATTTCATTAAATACACCACATGAGCTTAAGTACAACTTGATTACCTGAGTGATCCTAGAAGGTCACCCATCTTCATGCTGTCCATGGAGTCTTTCAGAGCTTTGCAACCATCCTCTCCTAGACAGTTACCTGAAAACCAAAGAGACTAAATTCTACAAGGGAGCCATACTAAAACCAAAATAAAAATCTCCAAATAACATCTCTATAAATCAAACACAAAGCAGAAGCATTAGAGAAGAAAAGTAATCTCCCCGTCTAGAACCACTGAACTTTAAAGCAGATCTTTGCACTTTCAAAGGATAACAGCTCGTTGCACGTTAGTTGAAATGTGAATCCTCTATATTTTTTCCCCCAATACTGAACAAAAAAAAATTAAGAGCAGAGTTAGCTGGTTTGTACCATTTAGGTCCAGCTTCTCCAGTTGGTCTTTGCCCTTTACTGCTTGTGCCACTGCCAGAGCAGCTTCCGCTGTAATCTCGCCAAAGGACAGATTGAGTTCCTGTTAAACATGACAAAATATTTACTAAGAAGGGAAGAACAATGTCAAACAAAGGCCAACATAAAGACAGGGAAATAAAGACCTTTCCTTTGACCTTTACACTCAGTTACATTACTAGATTGTCCATACATACAGGGTCACGACAGTCAAGCCTCTGGCTCTTTGCCAACAACAATCAGTCCAACAAATGATTATTCTGGGAGGCAGTGACAGCGTAGGTCTGATCAAGACCAGTCACTCACCTTGAGAATGGGCAGTCCCTCTGTTAAACTTTCTGCAATAGCAATGGCTCCCGCTGGCCGCACCAGACAGTCTCCAAAGTTTATCACCTGGATGCTGTGCAGGTGTTTCAGGGCCTGTGAAGGATACAATACTATTTGCTACTGCTTCACCAATTTAAAGGCCTCATTAGGAAGAGAGTTATTAGTAGAAGTAAAACTGATGGTGACGGACCAATCAATGGGTAAAAAGCAAAGTTCTCAGCAAGCTGAATTCTTCTCCACAACGTACAAGGTAGATTTATTTATCATTTAAACAAGTCCATCTCCAGCATGTTTATACAAAAAACAATTCCTTATTTATTGCTCTCAAAAGCTCCACAAATCACTATTTTACATAAACAATGGCTCAAATCACTTTGGAAAGTGATCACACAACGAGACTATAAAAGCTGATAATGTGTTTGAATTTGTGTTTTGTAGCTTGTTGCAGAGTTATTCTACCCATGTGGCCAAAAACAATAAACTATTTGTTTCAACAATCATTTTGGCGAGGACCATTTCATCGGCCCCTAAATTGCAGTCATGATGCTGACATCTGACGTCTCTGTACCTGAGCCATGGCGATAGCTCCCTTCTCGGTGAAGGTGTTGTCATTGAGGTTGAGGATGCGGAGGCCCGTGTTGTGCTGCATGGCTGTAGCCAGGGCTGTCACACCAGGGTGATTGATGCCATTCTGGGGCATGTGGACCTCCTCCAGGCTACCCATCAACTGTAAACACAAACTGTAGTTTCAAGATTGCCTGCCACCTACACAGCTACACAGTATTTTCACACATAACTGCAACAATTTGCCTACAGTAACAAACTAACAGCTTTGAACAATGATGGTGAAGTTGTCAAATACCCGACTATTTGTGTAAATAGTCAGGTATTTGACATTTGGTCTGAGATTAATTATGTAAAGTGCTTCAGCAAGGCAAGCTGAAGTAAAATCTCTCACAATAGTCGTAGCGTAATCTAGCAAGACAACGTGGCATTCTTCAGAGTAGTGCTTTTTAGTCTGCAAGTATTCAAAGCTCAACGAGTTGTTAGCCCTGTACCTGAAAGGCATGAGCGAGAGCGGTGGCTCCATCGTTCTCCAGACGGTTCCTCCCTGCAACAAACACCTTCAGGCTCAGGGGGACGCCGTCTGCGCTGGATTTTTTGTGGCACTGGCTCAATGAAGCAGCCAAGATCTGAGGAGTCCATATAAACAGAGTATTCAATTCTGATGACATTTATCATCAAGCATCAATGGACATATAGTGAAATTAAATGGGATCTACTAAGCATGTGCACACTTGTCAATTTAGTTTCTTTATCTCTTTAGTCCTTCGTCATTTTTAGAACCATTTCTTTTGTAAACTCTTTTCATTGCAGCTGTTACCAATAAATCAATAATCGGCTTCACTTCTGCTTTACTCACAATTAACTTAAACACTTCAGCACTTCCATTTTATACTGCTTTCAGTATTTCTAGTTTCTTCAACTATTCTTCAATTTAAATATTTCAGTAGTAAGTGCATATACGTTGTATTCATGAAATTTAGCCTTTTCTGGTTTTATAGAGAACTTTACGCGGATGTACACATGTACATTCTAATGTAGTCCAATATAACAGCCCTGTACTTACATCTATCTTACAAAGCTCATAATGATCCATTTTAACAACACTGTCATACATCTCTGTACAGGCGTACCTAATAGTGTGACCACTGAGTGTATCTCACCTAACACCACCTTATCTTAAAAACACGTTTTCGTGACCTACCTTTCCACCGCCGATGCCCATGCCACAGTTGTTGAGCCGCAGCTCCTGCAATGTGTAGCAGGCGGTGCTCTTGAGCAACTTCTCGATACCCTTCACCCCATCAGGTCCAAAGGCGTTATCACTGAGGTCTAAAACAGTCAACCTGGCACCCGCCAGCATCAGAGCATCACCCAGTGAATTCTACAAAACAGGGAGAAAAAGAGTTTGACAGTGTACCGAAGCAAAGACAACAGACATGGTTACAGCTGTGTAATAATTCAGGAGAAGAGCGAGACTGGAAAGCTTGCAATAATCCAACAGGTTCTGAAGGCTTAACTTGTTTAGATATGGACAATAATGTTAAGGAAGAGCAGCATTACCAGGGCAGGTGGGATCTCACAGCGCAGGCGACCTGTGAACATGTCACTCCAATAACAGCACTGAAACAGAGAGAATAAAAATGTTGACACGGTGTCAATGTAACCCACGAGACAATCTTGAATATATTCATAATCATGTTTAATTTACTGTATATTAGATCTGAAACAAGAAATGAGTCTATCAAGAGAAAAATAAGCCTTTTTCATAATCCATTAATCATGTCTTTTTCGAGCAGAAATGCCAAACATTTCAAAGCTGCAGCTTTCCTGTCTTATGTGTTACTAAACTGAAAATATATATATATAGTTTTGGATTGTTGGTCGGACAACAAAAAAACTGACTTTATGATGGCTGTTTTTCCACTGTGTTATTGTTATGTTTAGGGCCAGTTGATATTTATCAACTAAAAATACCAGACATATCCTGGTTACAACGTAAAAAAGGTGATTAACTTGATTGCAAGACTAAAAATGAGAATAATCAAAACGGTCAAGAGTAAACACTCCAAACCTTGAACTCCCTCTTTGTCTCCAGGGCCTTGGCGATGGCTTGCGCTGCCTCCACACCCACGGTGTTTCCCTCCAACCTGAGGGCCTGCAAACCCTCGAAGTTCTGGATCTCCTTCACCATCTCCTGCACTGGTGAGGGGGGACAAGGGGGTTACAGGTGCAGCCCAATCCTCAGTTCCTGCTTGACATATCAGCTGCCTTTGACACAGTCAATCACAGGATCCTTCTATCCGCTCTCTCAGCAATGGGCATCTCAAGTAAAGCACTCCTGTGGTTCGAATCCTACTTCTCAGGGCGTTCCTACAATGTTTTGTGGTAAAGACAATTATCCTCCTCCCACTGCCTCTCCACAGGGGTGCCCCAAGGCTCAGTGCTAGAGCCCCTTCTCTTCTCAATTTACACCACCTCAATGGGGCCGATCAATCGCTCTCACGGCTTCTCTTACCACTGCTACGCAGACGATACGCAACTCTACTTATTAGGGCTGAAATGATTCATCGATTAAATCGATTCATAAAATGCTTCGACACAAATTCTTTGCATCGATGCTTCGTTTAATCCATGTATCTATACAGCACAGTGCTCCTAGGGACATTTATTACTGTTGCATATCGCGTTTACGCTGTGAACACGACGTGATTATGATGGAGCTGTTTGCAAAGTGGAGGAAGAGAGGGAAAATAACGAGGGGCAAAAAAGAAAGTGTCCAAAGTATGAGATTATTTCAAGCTAAAGAAAACAACAACTCTGTAATGTTACCGTCCGTTCACCGTAAAACGAAACTTTTGTCGCCTCTGCAACAGCACGATGGCGCCTTATCAGAAAGCAGCCGTTGTTCTGCCAGCGGACCACAGACAAGGTAACAGTAACTTTAGCATTTAACTGAAATTATGATTGATTGTTGAGTTGAAGGCTAGCCAAAGTAAGCCGCAGTCCTCAGATGAAAATGTGCACGCGTGCGTTTGTTGTTCTCTGTGAGTTGTAATCTCACAGTCATGAGTTAACTGGGTGTCGGGAGCTGCACCTTTTAACTCCCCTCCAGCTCTCTCTGTTGCGCAGACAATCCCTGCTACCTGCGTGTGCTAATCCATCCTTTCACCCAGATTCTGCCGGCAAGCAAAAGTACTTAAACGACGCATCGATGAATCGTTGAAATAATCTATAGAAGCTTTGAATACTAAAATCATCGTTAGCTGCAGACCTACTACCTATCCTTCCCGCCAGACGAGACGACCCCACCGTCTCGGCGCGGATCACGGACTGTCTCTCAGACATATCTGCATGGATGAAGGCTTGCCACCTTCAACTAAACCTCTCTAAGACTGAACTCTTGGTCATTCCAGCCAAGCAATCTATCCACCATAACATCAAACTACAAATTGACTCCTCATCCTTCACTCCAACCAAGGTGGTGAGAAACTTGGGTGTCATGACTGATGACCAGCTGTCCTTTTCAGACCATGTTGCTGCTGTCTCTTGGTCATGCCGCTTTGCTCTATACAACATAAGGAAAATCAGGCCCTACCTCACCCAGTATGACACCCAGCTTCTGTTACAAGCCATAGTTATCTCTCGCCTCGACTATTGCAATGCCCTCCTAGCGGGTCTTCCAGCTTGTGCGTTATGCAAATGGTTTAGAATGCAGCAGCGCGTCTGGTTTTTGATCAGCCCAAAAGGACTCATGCCACTCCATTACTCAGTGACCTCCACTGGCTCCCTGTGCCTCCAGAATTAGATTCAAGTCACTAATGCTTGCATACAGAGTGACTACTGGGTCTGCACCCATCTACCTAATCTACATAATACAAACTTACGTTCCTTCTCGGCCACTGCGCTCCTCCAACGAACGCTGCCTGGCTCTGCCATCCCTTCACACAAAGCAATCAGAGTCCCAGCTGTTCTCATCCACGATGGTGGAACAAGCTACCACACGCCATCAGAGCAGGGGCATCCCTCTCTAACTTCAAGAAGCTCTTGAAAACTCATCTCACTTCCTCGTATAACACCTATAACTCCTAACCTCTAACATGCACCTCCTGTGCTCTTCTTCTATCTCCTTACAATTATCTTGTATAGATTGCACTTTGTTAACTCTTACTTCCTTCCCTAGGTATTTACCCCATTGAAGTGATATGAACTATGACCTCTAACTAGCATTTATTGCTGCTCTTACTAGTATGTATTGTCAGTTGCAGATCTGTATTTGATGCTCTGTTATACTTGTATGTTGTTCCTCAAATGTAAGTCGCTTTGGATAAAAGCATCTGCCAAATGAGTAAATGTAAAATGTAGAAACAGGGATGCGAGAGTAAAGTGTGATGGCAATTTAAACAAACAGCTGTGACGTAAAAAATTTAAATATTCAATCCAAGTCTTTACTGAGTTTTTACAAGCATGCCTCACTTGCTTATAGGCAGGGTTTCTTGCACAGTCACAGCTGCCACTCACCTGATTGGGCATTATCCAGCTTTTTTCCCTGGCCTTTGTAGCTCAGCTCTCCTTCTGCTACTCCAGTCTTGGCAAGAGAGTCGGCCAACTGTGCAACAATGTCTGTCGCCATCGTGACACCTGAGGGACAAACACGTGATTTACTTTTTATTTCATCTTCACGACTATCCTGGTTCCTGACACTAGGCTAGTTCTGCACGGGGACAGAGTTGGTTTTCTCTGCCCCACAGGTAGCAATCATTACCAATAAAGAAGGAAAACACTGACCACAATACTGGCTTTAACGTTAGCTTGCGCGTTTTTTTCTGGAAAGCTTAGTCAATCTTTGTGCTAGAGAAACTGCTGAGAGAACGGTTTTCACTGAGGGGCAGTCCACCCTTAAACAGTATTTACACGTGCGGTCTGATATGCAGCTGAGATTTAATTTACGTATTTGAATATGTCACTGTGTACGTTGAACAGTATACAGATAGCAAAGATGCAATCTAACGTTAGTTTTCAAATGCACACAATGAACTAACTTGAAGTTTACTCTGAAACACTGTTTAGCATAATAACTTCAACAAAATTAGACCTTGTTTAAGTCAAGTCATTAATTCCGTGTAACTTATTTAAAAAAACATGAGTTTAAGTTTTCACTCTCACACAAGACAGCCGTTGGGTTTATACATACATGACTACAGTCATCAGGATTTAAAGTTGTTTCGGGGTAGATTATCTCCTGTTAGCAGTCGGTGGCTAGCGTTAGCCGAGTGCTGCTAACGTCATGCTAACACGTACGAACAGAGCTGGAGCTGGTCAACTGTCGGTGACAACACGTGCTTGCTAGACATTTAACAAACTTAGTAAGGTGGTTGTAGGATCATATAGCGGAAACATGTGTCTACTAACGTTGGCTAGTGCGTGAGAGAAGAGCGTGGCTTTTACTCGGCCTCTCTAGTCGGTCATCTGAAACCCGCTGACTAACGTTAACGTTACCTGCACTACAGTTAGTCTGCCCTCTCCCGGTCCTCGGATTAAAGTCGTTATTATTCTAACTCATAACACAGTCTGCTCCCAATAGAGATGAAAGTCACCATTTCCACAACACTGCTGTAACTTACTGGTTGAATCCAGTCCAGTCACACACTCCCGCTCGCTCCTATCGTTCAAAACCAAATCCAGCACACTAGCCGACTTGACGACCACAAAGCTGGGTGACAAGGGATTTGTAGTTCAAGTAGACTACAGCGGGACGTACTTCTCCAAAATACTACCAGGCTTCTTCTTCTTTAGTGTTGTTAGCTTAGCGGTGCACTGCCGCCACCAATTGGACTGTTGTGTGGAACAAGCGATTACACAGAGAAAACCTGTAGATTATTTTAGCTGAATGAGTTTCTTTTAAAAACATAATGTCTCGGGAATGTCTTCCAATCTCCAAACTCACAGGCAGCCATGCTTCATGAACTTTGGTTCTTTCCCTCAGTTTTTTCTGCTGCACCGCTCATCTTCATATTTACCACATATCCCAATATCATGTCTACACCCTGTGACCAAATGTCCAACATTTTGCCTGATGACCTAACATACACATATGTTTTTGTATTCTTATAATCATTTTATTTTTTTATTTTATCAACTTTTATATCTTGTATTCTATTTAAATTGTGTAACTGTTTTCACTGATATGGTAAATGCATAGAGAAGAGGACCAGGAGGGTCCCAGGGTTTGTTGGCGGAAAGTCAAAGAAGAACATCTGGCCTTACCTAGACTGTTTTTGCCAGTGATTTCCATTTCAATTTAACTGTAGTACGGTCAGAATCTAGACTGTCTACGGACTCACTATAAAGAGGGAGGTTTCCTTTATTCCGGGCAGATCCTGTTAGTGAACTAAACCGAGATTCTTTCATTTAGGTTCAGTAACATTCTCTCGTTGTGGGAAAAAATACCAAAATGCACCTTGTATTATTGATTCCTTGTTTGTTTAAATCTATTGTACTTTATTCTATTCCTCAATGCCATCAACAATCATTAGTCCCATCATTAGGTCAAAGTTTCAGTTTGTCCTATTCTCATGTCTAAATTCCTACTAAACCAATAATATTCCCACCAGCCTCAGCTGTACTTAATGTTTAGTGGTCCTTTAAACACAGGGCTCTCCCAGTCATCACTCATTAAAGTTTGGGAATCCTATAAAGTTTCTCTTTGAGGAAATGTATTGTCGTCCATGCAGAGTTTGAAATATGAATATATTAATTCTAATTATTTATTTTAAGTAGAAACTTGATTTTTTTAACCGCTTGAATGTAAATACATTTTGTTTAATTGTATTTACCTATTTATATGTTTGTGTTATTTTTTAAATTGTGTGTGACTGTAGTGCAGAGCTTGCAGAAGAAGTTGTAGGTGGGGTTAATGGTTTGTCCACAGGAAGTGCTGCCTGAAAGACTGTACTCAGGGCCAGAAAGCTCTGAGTTTCATTAAAGGGCCAGTGTGGAGGTTTGCAGCTGGCTCGTGGATGGACTGGTGTTGCTGCGAATCGAAACCTAACCAGGGACAGAGAATTCAGATACGAAGCCTCAGCAGGCTCCTCTCTCCTGGCTCGCTTTTGATCAGCGTCAGCACGGCCTCTCACCTGCTGAAACTTTCTTCGTCTCTTTCTCCCTCAGCCACGAAATGTCCCCCTTTTAAACTTTGCTTCGGTTCAATGAACTTCCCCACTTCATCAGGTAGGTGTGTCTGAAGTTGGGCTAGTCGCGCCATGATGGCCCCGAACATAAGCAGTATCAGGGGTTTGCATGCTGGATGTTATCACTAATTCGTAAAGAATCAACACGAACCAGTGTTGTCTTGTCTCTAGTTTACGATTTGTAACTTAACTTACTGTGGTGTGCTAACATTACAGACCCTCCGTTTTTTGCACCTCTTACTGTTGCGAAATATTTTAGGTAACGTTAAAGCGTTAATGCTGTCTAAAACCCACTTTCAGATTTCCAAATGTAATTTGTGAATTTAAAAAAGGGGGACATTTCACTGTTTTTTCCTCATCTGGGCCACACTAGACCAGGTCCAGATCAAAAATCACTGTACCTAGTCTGGTGAAATCTGGACTACATTATCTCAGAGATTCTTTAATACACAGTTTCATATTTGTGAAACCTTTATTCAGGTAGTATATTTTTATTATACGGCGTACCTGGGTGCCCGCCAAAGCGACCGATCTCGTATCCTGCTACTTATGCTGCATTCAGGCAATGTCGGCAGAATTAGAACAGGAAAAACACTCCTTAGTCCGACTCCGAAGAGTTCAGGCATTATTGCAAGGTTGTTACAGCTTGTGCGAACATTATAGTCACAACACATGAACAGCCTGAGGTGGCTGCTTTTGTTCTGTTACGCATTTGTTGTTGTTTGGTATCGAGTAAAACCGGATTAAACCAACCCGTGTAAGTGTTACAGCTGCCATAAAATGAGCTGAATCCATTGCATTAGTGTTAACATTGGGTTTTATTTGGATGTAGCTGTCAGTCGAGGTGCTGCAGCCATTCTACCAACAGTGCGTTGACATGTTGACTAGGCCACTAGTGTTTTGCATTTCTTAGACTAAAGACTAAAGGATTCACAAATCTGACATTTTGCCTTACAGACTCTCTGGCTTCTTTTGGATAATCTAATTCAGATTTGACCAGTAGTTGTTTTTTTTATCTGTACCTGGTCTAGTGTGGTCTAGATGTGAAAAAACAGTGAAATGTCCCATTTTTGCATTTTCACAAATGGAATAAAGGTCGACACTGGCTTTCAAGCAGCATTAAGGCTTTGCCTAAAATGTCTAACACACTCTCACAAGGATCGATCGCTCAGCAATGTAAGTTACATTTCCCTTAACTACCCTGTTAACACAGAATTGGAAGCTGCAAATCTGAAGCCAACTTCAGCATTGTGACAAAGGTCATTGTTTCTTACTTTGATACTTTTAATGGGAGTGGGCGTAGCCACAAGAAAGTCACAGCATCGTCAACAACGTCAGTCAGTATTTGCTACTAGTCCACCCGTGGTCTTTTTGTCTTCTCCCCAGTGAACAAGCATGGAACCTGTCAGACAGAAACGCAAGGAGGAGATAAGCAAAGCTCTGACATTTATACAGTGAGTTGTGTTTTTTGATTTGATTTTTTTATATGAGGGCAACCTGATGGAAAGTGAAACTTACCCAGCCCTGAATGACTCATATCCTTGATAACTAAGCTGTCTCAGGACTTTTCTAAGCAAGTTTACATCTTGTGTTCTAGGTCTTCCCTGGCTTATCCAGAGCCCGAGGGCTACCAGGTACCAGCTGTTATTACAAACACAATGTTATGTCTGTCTCCACTTTTTCTTCACTGTTGGTTTCATGCCTGTGATGATATTGAAAATCCCTTCATCAGGAGCTGTTGCTCTTGATTTCTGTTGTGTGTCGTCCTTACACTGCTCTGTCTTTTCTTTCCTGCCACCGCTCCATTCATTTCTGGCTGCATGTTAAATAAACGACTTGCCTATTCTCTTATTGGAGGCAATTTTATTTCTACTCATAGGTATTAAATGTTTTTTAAACTTTTTTTTTTCAATTCTGTCTGAAGACTCACAATATTTGCTGCTGTGATCAGTCCTCCTGACACAGTTATCCCTATGTAAGGCGACTACTAAAGCTAATAAAAAGCTAATCTCTAGGCTTCCGAGAATGATAAAAGGCATTTCTCAAAACATGAAAAGGGAGATCATAGCTGTGGGGGCGTATTGTGACTACTTTAGTCATGATAGGGCCTGAGGTCTTTGGGATCAGCATCTAATTCACCTCTTCTCCCCCCTCCCTCCTCCCAGGACTTCCTGACTAAGTTAGTGTGCAACCTGCTCGATGAGGGCAACGCCTTGTTCAGGGATGGAGACTGGGAGCAGGCGGTGAAAGAGTTCAGTGAAGGCTTGAATGTCTCGTGCTACGCTGCAGCAGAGGAGCTCCAGATCTCTGAAGTTTTGCTGGAGAGCCTGTATATCAACCGGGCTGCTACCTACCACAGTATGGTGAGATACATTTGGTCCCGCATGTTTCTGAGATGGCGCATCATTCCGCAGTACACTATTTCAGTGAGCGTCAGAGCGCCTCAGACAGACTCTTGTGAGGATGTAGACAGCTGTTTTGGAAAATGAAAAGTGGATCAACCAATAGTAATTACTGGATGAATTAAAAATTCCATCTCTTAATATCCAGTGGTTAATCCTCTAGAGTTTCTTGTTGCTACATTTAAAAACACAATCATAAACATTTTTGAATATATCAATTATGTCATTTAAATGCAAATAATAATAATAATGAGCAATTTGTGTTTTTCACAAAAACATAAGGCTGTTGTACTGGTAGTCCTCGTATTAAAAGACCTGGCTTATAGTTTAAAAGTGATCTCAAGTTTCATTCTTCTGTTTTCTGTTCCTTTTCTTTTTTTTGGCCATCATGAATGATAAAAGCAATAGGGAGGTTTTTAGTGTGGTTCAAGGGAAGGCCAAGTGAAATCTGGGAGAGGAGTAGATCTTAGACTATTATATTATAGTACAGAGCAGTGAGCACAGGATTGTCATTCGTATTAAGATAATGCTTTTATGAAGAAGACATGACAAGTACATATTCCATCCACAGTGTAATTACATTTTACTCCTCAGGTCTAAACTGAAATATCCCAACAGCAATTGGAGAAATTGAAAAGCCATGAAAGTTTGTAGCGTCATTCATGGTTCCCAGAGGATGAATCCCAATGACGCTGGTGATCCCCTGACTTTTGCTCTAGCGCCACCATGATGTTGACATTTGTGTTTCAGAGTGAAATGTCTAGACATTTGGTTCCCCCCAGGAAGAACTGTAATAATTCTAGAAATCCCTTAATCTTTCCAACATTTCAATTTGTCCAGGACTTTGGTTTATGACCAAAGATCTGCAAAACTAATGACTTTCCCATTAGCTGTATTTTGTGTTTAGTGCTAATTGGCAAACGTTAGCATGCTAAAATGGTTTAAAATGGTTAAGTGGCAAAAATTATGCTAAACATAATTTTTAGCAGGTATATTGCAATGACAATGCATGTCATATCCATATCTAACCTTTTTGAGACTGTCATCAAGCCCCACTGAGGCAGTGAAGGGTTAATGCGGCTGACCGAGAATCTACACAGATACATATCCCCAGTTGTGAAAAAAGACAAAAACACTGTGGTATGTTGAAGACAAAAATGTAAAAATCA